AACGGATCCAGGGCTCCGCGCCGGCCCCTGACGCGCAGCACAGGGAGGGTCAGGGGGTATTTGTGCGGGGGCCGGGGGGCGCGTTGGGGCTGCGGGGAGGCGGAGGAGCAGCCCCGCGAATAATTAGCACTGGCTTATTCGTTTTACGCTATTCCTCCAACTCCTAAACCCTCCCCACAACAAAGAGGCCTGAAAAGCAGAGGATTTAGGACAAAGAAGGGGCCAGGAGCGGAGCAGGGCGGCCGAGGGCACGATGCAGCTTCGGGGCAGAGCGGGATGCAGACCGCCCCGCCGGACGCCTGGCCGGCGGTGATGCCTTCGATCGGGCCACGAGCTCCGTCCCTAACTCTTCAAATTCAGGGGATGCTTCTTCCCCCCCTCCAGCCCAGCAGCGTCCCAGTGCCCGGCGCGGTTTCCTCACATCCAAAAACCCTAAAAAGCTGAAAACACCATGAAATATTTTCTCCCGGCGGGGAGGGGAGAGGGCGGCTATTATCCTCATCCAAACCAAACCTGAAATGTTGGGGTCCAAAGGGTGTCGCTCCGCCTTTGAAATCCCACGCGGCCTTTCTTCCCATTAAACCGTCTCCCGGCTCAGATCCGAAGCTTCTTAGCCCCCCCCCCCCCCTTTTTTTTTTTTTTTTAATTTAATAATAAAGCATCTCAGATCTCCGAGTTGCAACTCATCTCACACCTAAGTGAGATTGCGTTTTGCACAAGCCTTTCAGCTGTTTTCTCAATCTCTCCTCTGTCTCATTCTCAATTCAGGCAGTTGCTATAGGTATGTTTTAATCCCCAGCATGGTAGATTTTAATTAGTCTTTGTACAGATGGCCAATTAACATTCATTACTTTTGCCTTGAGCGATTAATTATGAGTTTGGATAGAATGGGAGATGGAGACAGAGGAAAGATGGGCAGGTGAATAAAAAAAGGGATTTTAATCAGAGTTTGGGATTTTTTTTTTTCTTCTTCTTATTTATATATATACACACGCACGCAGAAAGAGGAGGGAAGAGAAAAGCGGCAACACGGTGCGAGTTACACTCCCGCTGAACTGCTTCCAGTCCCGGGGCCACGGGGATGGGCTCCGGTGGGGGACAAAGATCTGACACCTCCAGCTGACGATGCTGCGGGGCTCAGGGGCTGCGGTCCAGCCATCTCAGGGACGGGGAAACTGAGGCAGGGAGCGCTGGGGCAGCATGCGGCTCCCTGGGCACAGCCGGGCGCCCGGTCTGGAAATCGGTACCCCGGGCCGGATTCAGATGTCTTGGCATCATGGTTTTGGGTTCGTAATGGTGCTGGGGCGGGTGGGGACAGTCGGGCGAGCGGTCACACACTGCCACCTTCTCCTGGGTGAACCCACGTAGCGGTGTGCAGGATGGGGCCCGTAATTCTCGCCACGCAACGCCCGTTGACACGTCGCTAATTCTTCCTAATTGATTTTTCACACTGGCGGGAGGGAGACGGTGACATCCAACAACAGAGCCCTGATGTCGCGGCTTTCTCCTCCA